TCAGCTTCACATTCAACATTTTGAAGCCAGTTAACTACGAAATCTAAAACACCTATCCTATAGCCAGTGATGGACACGCAACTGATATTCGGACTTTGGATTGGTGATGAAAACTGCATTGAAATAAATGAAAATTCCTACAAATTAAAAATCCGAATAATTATACGAATAAAAAAATCATGGTGTGTTCCGTCACAAGAAGACATCAGTTAGAGGACCAAAGAGAACTGGAAAGCTGTCTCGTCAGAGATGAAGACTCTGAATAAGTAAAATTTCCTTACTGTTATCCGGATCATGAGTAGTTTCCAGTGGCATGAAAAAATCTTCAACACTACTGTGAAATCGATTAAATCCTCACAAACAAACATTTTTAAATTCTTTAAAGAACAATGAAAAGGGTGTGAGTTCACTGTGACAGCTGTGATGAGTCATCTACATGCGAGCGTCATGTGTGCTTATGATATGTTAATCTATCTATCTTTCCGTATTTTCAGTTTGGAGTTCACAATACAAGAACCGTACCAAACAATGTTATATATTTTTTACCTGACATGTAAGGAGTTAACGCTTTATGAATTTCACAAATTTATATATTATGGCATCCATTCTGATGGAGCGTTATTTAATTATCGATGCTAATTTGATCTGTTCTTGAGTCATCTCCGTGTCGGATCTACATGACCAGCTGGTTAGTCCACATGAGGTCCAGACCAAGAAAAAAACAGAATGAGAGCTTTCATGCTGCCTGAATTGTATGTCATCGACATTGTTCATTTCACCTACTAACTCAGTCAGTACTATCTTCATCCACGCAATTGTATGATGATATCGTTGTAGCTTTAAACCACTCTATACAGACATCTTTCCAAATTATCGCTTCGTTTTCAGCTAGCCTCTTTACCATAAGAGTGTGTGATCAACACAGATATGTCTCATTTAGAAGATCAGAAGTAAAGGATTGTTAGGCTTATAAGTACTTCTCTTCAGGAAGTATTTATACAACCTCATGGTTTGGAAATGAAGGGATTAAGGCAATCCTCTTTTCAGTGTCATTACGCGAACCCAATTAAGTTTAATTCTTTGCATTTTCTTCCCGGACTATAGACTTACTGACGGATGTTGTAAATAAAGTTTTTCTATGTCCTTTGTTTTGCACTTTAGAAAGGATTACTGTGCAAAGACGATGACAAAAAGAGATTTACTGAACTGTTGTACGAAACCAGAGGAAAATAAACAAAACAGAAAACACTTGTACACAGTTGCATTTCATCTATAATGGTTTACATTTCCGCTGAGTTTACTAATGGACATTAATTATACCTAGTAATAATACCAGCTAATTTTTAGACAATACATTGACACACAGCACAGAATTTCCAGCCTAATCTAATTCCAAAAATACTTACTCTTTATACAGGTTCTCCAAGTAAAATGGTATTCGGCAGTACATTGTTTGACTCTGTGTTGTTCCATCTGAAACATATCCAAAACTCTGTGGTATTTTTTCCTCATTTCTGCTGAGAAATGCTCTGCATTACGGCAGAATACAAGTGTGTGAGAGTCTATGCAGCGATTCATAAACACGGTTAGCTGATGAAATCAGTAAGAAGTGGAGAAGAGTGTACGCATTATACTGGATGGAAATTCAGGTAGCCAAGTGATCTAAGAGTGCGTCGGTGGCATAGCGGTTAGGACGCTCACCAACCATGCACATGGTCCGGGGTTCGATCCCCCGCCGACGCACTCCTTTACCTTGCTAAACCAGAAATAATGCTGGTGAACAGGAAAGGTTGGGCATGAGGCCAGCAACCCCATCCCGTAAAATAAACACTGCTACAGAAACTTCAAGCCACTAGCTTGAAGCCCTATGTTCCACTGGGGAACGTGAAGGAAAAAAAGTGATTTAAGTAAGCCGCAAATTTGTCTCTTAAAAGCACTTGTAATGCATTATATAACCGCTATTCCTTTTTAGACATCAAGAGTCTTATTAGGCCAAGAGTATATGTAGTATATGTAGTTCTTGATAAACGTTTGCGAGGATACCACTCAGAACAAACTAATATCTAACCAAGTCCTCCTAAAGATAAGATATCATCCGGGGAAACTTCCAAACCAGACACCTACAACTAGCAACAATGCAAGTTACTTTTTCATTGAATGATAAGACAAGGAACACTCGGTTCTCTTTAGATACTTGAGCAGAATTCTGCGTTTTTTTCCCTTCACTATCATCTCAACTGGGAAGCTAACACCTGCCAATCAAACTAATAGACAGATCTACGGTTTCAATCCATGATCTTAGAACATGTACAATGACTAGCATTATAATAGGCTTTATGATAAACAATTTTGACGCTGAATCTCTAAATGACCACATAAAATTCATAGGACTGTATAATGTTTGTTTTCTGCAGTCACAAATGAAATCATATGTATTCACTCAAAGTATCGTGGGCTTTTTCCTTTCTGTAAGTTACTTCACAATACATGGCATGGAAACAGTTGAAGTCTCTAAGTATGACAGTGACGTTTAACTCTATGAAGTAATAGTTTACAGTGCATACACACAATATGTTGTATATTAAATTCCTTTTATTAATAAAATTAATATTCACAACTATGTTATAGTAAGATGCTAAACAGAAAAGTTAGACAGATTCTAATTAACCTCATTCAAAGACAAACAAAAATCACGTACGAAGATGTTTTGCATTAGCGAATTCGTTTTGCCGGATAGAAGTTCTTTTTAACGTTTTTTTCTGAAAGTTTTCTTTTTAAAGCACAATTTCCAGCTAATTGATGATTTTAGAAACAATAAGGTAAGTTGCAACAATTGGTAAGGTGAATAGGATTTTTAATGTTTCCATAAGTTTGTTGTCCGATAGTTTTGACTGCAAATACAGATGCCAAATTTTCTGTAGGCTACAGGCAGCTTTGGTCACTGAAATATTTTTTTGTTGATTACTCTTTTACTGAATCATGTGCGAGTGCGTGTTTATATTTTTTGTAAATTTTTTGGAGTTGGTATGTCAGTAGTGGAGAAATATCTTTCATATTCGAGAGGTAAGTCATTATGAAGGAGACTAGGATAACTTGTTCCTCCTATTATAAATACTGTTTGTTTCAAATCTCACTTCAATTCTTTGTCGATGTCTGAAGTTGCTTATGGCCACCGAAATGTAAAACCGAAGTCATAAGATTAAGTAGGACAGTGGTGTGATTCGCTTTGAAATACCATATCGTGCTGTAATTGCCTTCTTATTTATCTTAAAGAGAAAACTACCCCGTAGAAGATGTACCGTTCGACTTAGTTACTCATCAGCTATTCCATACATACACTAAAATACGTTGAAGACCTAATAACACGTTTCAAAAAAGTCATCATGGTCACTGTGTCAGTCTAATCAATGGTCCCTTTAGAATCATTCTTTTTTGAAGAATTATTGTTACGCGTCATCGCTAAATTTACCCGTCGAATTCATGCTTTGTATTGTGCTGAAGAATTTTTTTTCTTTTTAATATTTCTGGTCACGACTGTGTAACTAAACTTTCTGTCAACCCAAAGTATCGGTGGAATTCTATCAGTCAATTCTGGAATTTGGTTAGTAAGATTGATGACAAGAAACTGTTGTATAGCGTGATACATTTTTCCTTATTGATGATAGGCATTTCATGGCTTGGTTACAGTTTCTAGCCGCAGAGTACTTATTGATCAGTGCTGACAATGCTAAAATTTATCAGGTATGGATATCTGGAGTGTGGCTCTTAAGAGCTGAGACCATGAGAAAATTCTTAATGTTTAAGGACACATAGGATTATATTACTTATCAACTTCTTAGTCTCATTTTACGAATGTCATGCTATCTGCACAGATGTTCCTGCTTAATTCAATCTTCTAATTTGGCAAGTAAGGTAATAAATTAAATCATCTCACTCATTTTTACCTATTCGTTCTTGAAACGAAGAAAACTGAAAATACAGTCTCTTCATAAAGTCTCCTAGACACTCTTCTTCAGGCTTTTATCCTTCATTTTCTATTCTCCAGTTAATTAATTCATGAAATTACTAAACTTGAATAATATTTGATAAAACTCACTGGGTTTTAAGAGTCTAGAAAAATTTTCACAGCTGAGTAAATTCAGATAATATCACACAAACAAAATCTCACTATGGATTTATACGTTTACTGGAAAATAAGATTGAAGATGAAGATGGTAGTGGGGACAAGTTTTTTTTATCTCTCTTCCCCCCTCTATGAAGAATACCTTTACGTCAATAGACAAACTCAAACCTTTTAAACCAATGAAAAATAGGTTACAGCTTTCTTCTGACTAGATTTCTGTATTTTGATTTTAAATATATGCGAGTTGAAGTATTTCATGTCACTTTTGTTGTTATTCTACGGTTGCATGTTCTCAAACACAAAGACAAGTACACACAGATATACTTTTGTGTTTAATGCCTGGTTGCTGTTTTGCGTGAAATTGTGAGCACGCGCTTGACAGAGCAAATGGCAAACTAACTTCTGATATGAAAGATAGACATAACGGTTTTGGGGCAGATAGTTTATAATATTAATATTACGACTGAGCTTTTATGTATCATTGCTTCGATTCTGTAATTTTGATCTCTGTCCTGCAAGACATTCTTCCCCTCCCCGTGGGCAGAAAGATATGAGGCATACTCATCAATATTAGATTCTAACTCCCCTTTACTAAGTAGAAAATCAAACACGTGTACATAAACCAAAAAGATGGTTAAATTTCTCGATACCCTTCTGCTTTTTACTGTATGAATTAATCTCTAAGTCTCCCTCCTACTTGAATTTCCAAAAATTTTTAAGAGAAATAATAGAGACGCTAGCTGGTCTGACTACGATTTTCCGAAAATGAATGAGTTGACTACTTACGCGATATATAACAAACTGTTTCACTTAGTTTTTGATTCATTCACAATATTAGAAATTTAAAAGACTGATTGGTGAACAGTCAGAAAATATCATAACTGTTGTTCTAAAAACTATTTTCGGACAGCTCTAAACATGGAGATCAATGATACAACAGTAACTAGTGATGTGATGGATAGTGTACCATGTAAGTTAATATTGTTATGTGAAAGCATATTTTTATTCGCATATCTGCCTAACTGTTTTACATTAATTAAATTGTTATGTCCGTAATATCTACTGTATGCTGTAAGAGGTTTCATTGCAATCCATTTTGAGATATTTTGAGTAACAGTATGAACAAGTAATCGATTTTAGTAGTTAAGACGTTCATTTCCTGACTGTTATCTCACACATCTCAAGGCATCACGTGTCTAAAGGCGTTTCTGAAAGATTCTGAGCCGGGTTTTCTTCCACCAATAGACGTTTCATTGTTTACCTTCCCTCTTTGTTTCTTTCTTCCAACAATCAAATGGATTAAATTTCATTTTAGTCACCAAGTACACTGTGTTGAACCATACAGAGTTTGTAGCTGCCGTAAGGTATAAAGTTTATTCGCTTCTAGGAATTTTATATGATAAGTATAGTTGACTTTCCACTTCGATTTGACAGAATATTCCATAGGCAGAGAAATATTACTTCATTACTCTTCAGTTTGATGACTTTGCTTTTGCGTCCCCATTGACATTCCCTTTGCTACCAGGAAAAGAAATGTTCTAACTGATACCATGTATACTGGTAACAGTTAATAAAAACAATCAGATCAAACAATTTGTGCATTTAATCTGTAACATTAGCTGTCATATGTCATCACATTTTAACCGTCACACAATACAGGGTAGATTTGGATTGGCAGATTACTACTGCTACCACCACAGATATAATGAATAACGCTTGAAGATCAGGGGGAAACTTGCTTCACTGCAGGATTCAAATTAGCACCCTGAGAATTATCCCCTGTTGTTATTCTGCAGTGACGCAAATTATCAGTTCACCTTTAATCATCGTGTATTTGCAAAATGTTACCATGGATGTCGAATTCATATACAACTAAGAGAAATCCAAATATATGAATATTATTTAATGATTTTGCCACACTGGGAAAACTAAAGGATTAGTATTACTGCAAATATTCTATAAATGATAAAGAAATTTAATGGGCACCTAAGTCACATTAAGCCAACTAACGACCTTAATTGTAAACATTACATATCAGAAGTGACATGGCTGCTTGAAAATTCCTACAACTAGGGAATCTGGAAAGCGATTGCATCATAACGTTCTGTGAGGAATCAAGAATCAAATTTAGAATAATTTCTATCTCAAGTTGTGACAGTATAGAGCCTCGTATTATTTTATTCCTTTGCGTTCCTACTGGAACATAAGGCTTCAAGCTTTGGGCTTCAAAGTTTCACTAACAGTGATGTTTTCGCGGGATGGAGTTGCTAGCCTTATTACCAATCTCCTGTCTTTACCACGTTTACTACTGTGTCAGCTAAGTTAAGGAGTGAGTTGGCCGAGGATCAAATCCGGCACCACATGAATGGTCGACGAGCATTCTACCAATAGATCACAGACGCACCAAGAGCCTTGTATTATTCAGTAAATTATGTACCAAAATAGTTAGGTTGACAAAATGCGCCTTATAAAACTAAAATCATCACACTAATTTATTGCACTGTTTTTATCATGAAATAAAATTTCGAGTATATATGGTCATCTTAATTGTCTGTAAAACAATTTCAGCATTTTTAAGTACGATGTACGTTGAAATGTGATAAACATTTCATAGGAAAGTGAACTAAAATTTTAAATCCTTTAAGAATTACCTGCCCACGTCTTTGAAGTTATCTGCCGAGGAAATGATACGAATTCTCTTCTTAAAGAATAGAAAATTAGTGTATCGTTGTTCTCTGAAATTAAATAAAGGAATACCAATAACCAGATTCGATTAACAGATTCATTTGAATGAATTTTATTGACTGCACTGGCGATTGGCACAGTAATTACATATTAATGTCCTCAGAAATCAGCAGGAATTGGTAACTTAAAGTATGTTGTACTTGAAATAACAGGATGAATGAATTTCATAATCATAGGTGATAATTTCAGTTATTAATGTCTTAATTGTAATAAGGTGTAAAGTTCAAAGCATTCTTCAGTTAACTTCGATAAAATCTCCTCTGTCACCGAGTGAATAGTCAGAAATGGAAATTCAAAACAGGCCGCTAGGCATTACAACTTTATGTCTCTAACTGATCGAGTTTTCAGACCACTTTATATGTTTAGGTGGAAACACTTGCAGCATATGGGTTATTTATAAAATAATTCATGACAGTACAAACTACTGGCTCCATTTTCACTCAGGTACTTAATTTTATTCACGTGGATGGACAATCTAACATAAGTTATGATACGTGAAATAAAATTCTCAGCAGATTCTAGTGTATTTGGTATCTGATGGACAGTACATTTGCCTATATTAAATATCTAAATGACAATTTATAACTAAATTTACCCGCGAATTTTTCGAAAAGTTTGTGATGATGGAGATGAATAATCTTAGTTTCTGTATTCACCCAGTTTCTTAAACTGTAATAGACGAGACCATTATGAAAAAGGTAACTTAAAATTACACTTTTATTCGCCAATGAAGCTAAAAAGAAGGAAATAGTTCATGACATTATGAATGCTCACCAGAAGATGGTATATTTGATGTGCAAAAAGCATGTGGACACCTTCATTGTATGGTCTACTTTATCATATTTTATAAGTGAAAAATGGACTACTGCACGTCACTCATTCCACATCGGCATAGCATTTTTTGAGTGGTGGCTTGTGTGAATTATATATATATATAATATATAAGTTATTAAATTTTCATATCAGCGAGGAATAGTAAACTTTACATAAAATAATCTCATGACCAAATCCTGTATACATGGTGCATAGTTCTCGACAAGAATGGTATCGCCTAATCTGCGGCACCATTATGGATAAGATTTTATTTTGATAAATCACACAGTGTTACACAGTAATATTAACTGATGACGTTTCGAGCACAAATTATTGCTCATAATCATATATCAGTTAATATTACTGTGTAGCACTGTTTGATTTATCAAAATAAAATCTTATCCATAATGGAGTTACACTCTACCACAGTGCCCAAGATTTATACTTATATCAATAATCTGCGGCATGTACAAATGCAAATATGATTTAGTACTTGCTGTGACTTTATGTCAGTAAAATAGTTATCAGGATTATTTTACCTAACTATGCTTGATAAAATGAGGTCGGTTATTCAAATTCTGTTAAAGACTGATTATCCTTAACTATACTGTCTTAAGAAAAAACTGATGTTTTCCTGTGACTCTAAATATTCGTGCATAAACGCCTTTTCAAGTGAAAAGAAAACTATACTGTTTTTGTAAGATTTCACAAAATATGAATCCCATCTTTATTAAAAACTTAAATTAATATCTCATTTAATCCTATGAGTATATTCCTACCAACTTTATTAAGTACTTAATACATAAATATTACTGAAAACTCAAAATTCTACGATTCACTGACTATGTAGGCTCTACACTCTCTTCTCACATCTCTACACCCGACTGACTTATCTGTATCCATGTAATCCAGTTGGTTTCAATTCATGGTCCGGTAATTATATGAGAGTAAACCTATTTTTATGCCTGAAAATATAGTTGATAAATAAAATTTAAAGTGTACAGAATTAAAAGAAAAAAAGTGGTGTAAACCTTGAGAAAGAATTATCTGAACGGAAATTTTGTAAGACATTTATAATAAAAGTTAAGATAAAGCAAAGTATTTATCACTTAATCCTATATTTAGGGGATTAATACTGAAGAGATTATAATGAACCTAATGATAGGTTTTATTTAACAATCATGGAATGAAATAATAATAATAAACACCTTCTTCACGCTTACTTTACTTCAATACAATAACGAAAATTAGTGGCTATTAGTGGCAAATAATTAATTAATTTTACTGTACTGACAATAAAATCTGTACTTATAAAATTATGACTCTGAGAAGAAAGCATACTCGAGGACAACTGATAAAGTTATGTTGACTGAATAAACGTAAACTTAAAATTAGGTGAGACAATAAATGTAGTCATTCAAAAATAACTGAGAATCTTGACTCTTCTTAAATAGAATTTAGAAGAAATACTATCACTGTCTAATAACAAAACACGTACATCTTTACTTTCAAATGCACAATAACTGAGAATCGAAAAGGAGGATTAATATTAAAATATGGTAATATTAAGTAAATGCAGATAATTACACTGCATTAAACAAATAACCTTTGCGTTAAAAATGAAAAACGTGTTTTATCCCAATTACATTTAGACAAAGGTAAAACGCCAAAGCGAAAACAACATTTAATTATTCATACAACTAGTAAATGTGTCTCAGTCTTTTGATGAAGTGAGTGCTGAAGATGTTGTCAAGCCTAATGGAGCATCCTCTTCACCCTCAGCTTTCACCTTGCATCTCCTCAGGTAGAACAAGAAGCAACTTCAGAAAACTGTATGCTCGCACGTCTAAGTATAGAAATTCTATGATACCATACTTGGAACGTATTTTATGTGATGAAAATAGTGTCAGGCAAGAATTGACTAACCTTTTTTCATATAGTAAATAAACAGTCTCCTCCATCCATCCTTATATACATTCAAGTTTTACTTTCATTATTTCTATTATATTTATGGTCCTGTTGCTTCTTTGTTTTTACTTTCATAACTGCATATACCAGCTTATCTCTACGACTGCTGTAATCTTTCTTTTTTCCCTCACCATTTCATGTAAAGAGAACATTCTTTTCAATATTTTTAATCATGCTAGGATTTCTATACCGCATTGACAATACTGTGTGAAACAAGACCACGACAATTTCCACTTTTATTATTATCATTATCATTTCCATTTTATATGCTGCATGATTTTTAACATTACCCCTATTGTACTTGTGGAAAATTTTCTGTGTGATTAATTTTAGTTATAATTTAAGGAAATTAGATGCAGTATTGTGATTAATGCTGAAAATTCCATTCTGTATCACAAGTATTATTTTTGGAATAAAGTAAATCGTATTATTATTATTATATATCCACGACCAGAAATCTAAGCTAAGTGAGCACTTGCACAGATCTTAGATGTCTTTGTTCGTTAAACCCTACCTATGTACATTAAATGGAGATTTAATGTTTAAGGGGCACATGACAATGTAACTACTTACTTACATAACAAAGTACAAAACAGTGCAACAAATACACTCTAGAAAGAGATACACTTGTTTACATTTAGCTAGCTACTAGCACCTCTTCACTGGCATATGCTGTCTTTTAAAGAATGCAAGTGGTTATAAATTAGTAAGTGAAATGTTGTCGATCTCAAGGTTTAATAGAGGGAAAATAATCACAGAAGTCAAGATAACAGTTTAAAAAATCAAATAATAATAGCGGGACTATATGCTTAAAATGTAGAAATCAGTAACAGGTAACGGCATAATTGATAGCTTATTTAAGAGTAAAAATTGTAAATAAGTAAAGATGTTTGCTGCATCATCATTGTTAATCCGTGTAGGCAAATGTTAAAACAAACAGCTGATTAGATAGAATACAATGAAAAAATAGCCAGGGTAATAAATGAGTCTGTGCCAAGTGTACCGGGACATACGAATTTGTTTTTGTTAATATGACTTCCCACTGCATGTGTTATATGTAAAAGTCAAGCAGACAAAGCATTAGTAATATTAGTTGAAATGTGATGACTTTGGAAGCCTCTTTAGTATCCTGATCGATGTGGTGCTTGCCTGATTAATATTTGCATTACCTAATGACTCTAGAGGCTTTTAGAACAACATACATATATTAACAAACAAATATCAGATTACTGATAGCTTACACATTATATTTCACATCCGAAATAGGTAGAGGGTGGTAAATCAATTACAATTAAATTATAGCGCAACTGTTTTACCGCAGATGTCTCGGTAAACGCTAGTGGGTATAAATAACACTGATAGTAGCTAATAAGTGCAATTTAGCTGTAAACCTTATTACTTTAAATCACAGGACATACAAATAAACAGTTGAAGTAAGAGTAATATTTACAAAATGTCCTCACTAAATAAGAACAATAAGGTTTAATGTATCCATTCAAGATAGTACTATACGGATTTTTATGTCCTAGTTGAACAATAAGGTGAGCCATTACAGTGAGTAAATTAATACTATGGACTAGTGGAGTGTAGGCAGCTGTTGGTGATTCCGTGTGATTGCAAAGACTGAAGCAACGAACAAACACTCATATGGATTACAATCATCCACATGACGTGTACATCCACTCAACTAGACTATACACGTGACTATCATTCAGCTGAGAAGCGCATTTTCTGATTCTTAAAGTCATATAGTTTCTATGTCTAAACAATGTGAAAAAGAAAATCTATTAAAATCATATAACTATATTGGTAACTGTAGCATGACAGAATAAGAAATGAACTGGAAATTAGAGACCGAATTGTATCACACAAGTAGATGAATAACTTTATTTTGTTTCCCCACACAATTACTGCTACTTTAAAGTGAACAGTTTCTATACAAGCATAACTTATTACAACTGAATAGTTCAGGCTTTTAAGTAAGAGTGCCAATCTTAGCAGCGTTGGTGACTGATACATTGATAAAAGGCATTCATTTCCTAAAGTGTAAAGTAGATAAGCTAAACACTATTAGGTAGATAAAAACGTTATTTTAAATAATGTTATATCCATTCTAATTGTATTTAAATTGCAGAAATCCTACTCATGAAAATTTTTGATACTTGAAACTGGAATCAGCCACATAAATTTAGAAATTAGGTATGAATTATAAGCTATTCATATGGTATAAACAAATGACTTCCTCCTGCTGATAATTTTTTTTAATTTCGAAAAGTAAGTGCCGAAAAATATACAACAATAACAATAATAATCATTCAGACATTTAGAAGACAAGAAGACTGAACGGAGAATATTCTTTTCGATAAACTTATGTGTTCAAAAGAAATTAGTACAGCCGCTTTCCTTGCCTTGGTCATCATTACTTTATTGTTAAAGTCTGACGATTCCCTCCTCCTCTTAAGCCTTCTGGAAGTTATTACTGTTTTAACTACCTCAGATTATTGTTCTGTTCTTATTTTAACTGACATTCAGTTCAGTATTACATTTGCATGCATATTATCACTCACATGTGTTACTCTATTGATGCTAACAATTCCATATTATTGTCTGTAAAAACTACTCCTTAAATATTTTGTATACATCACTGTAGAACCAGACGAGTAAATTATCTATAGGAATATTCTTTGCTCAGTTTTTATTTTGTCTTTCAAATCTGAAAAATTCGCACTTTATAGTTACCATGAAGTGGAACTACACAAAAAAGCTGAAGTGTAACAAACAAGATATTATCCTCACTATTATTCCATTATGGATAAGATTTTTATTTTGATAAATAACACAGTTTTGTACAGTAATATTTACTGATGACATTTTGAGGACAATTTATTGCTCATAATCATATCAAGGTCCTCACTAGTCCACCAAGACTTGGTTTCACTTCAAAGACGTTGTGTCTCGCATGCAATGTATAAAATCTATTCCGATTCCCATATTTTAAATGAAGTAAATTCATACTATTGAGTATTTCAAGATGCAACTACTCGGAGTCAGTAATCTGACATTAAGGGTTTAACATTTGTTAACTAAAGTGATAAGACTGGATATGATCAGGACAACTGCCAACAAACAGGACACATCACTGAATCTAGTTACCAGAATTCTGAACATTTTAATAATGCATTCAACCTACCTTAATTTTTTTTCTCAATCTTTTTTAACTGACCACTGCTACAGAGTCATATGTTGATTTATGATTACAATGGGAAGTTGGTTTCAGATCGCTTATTGATGGTGAGAAACCTTCTGTAGACAACAAGTTTTTTATGACATTCATAATGCCAACTTCTTTCAATGACACATCAAGAATGTAGATCAATTATGCCTGATCAATGAATGAAAATTCTAATCTGGTTCAAAATACTTTATTCATGAATGCTCTAGAATAAAAAGAATGATATAGTTATCGTGACTTGCACCTGCAGTGTCCTTTTTAGCCTGATTTTGCCAGTACATTATTACGCACACTGCCAACACAGAGTTTTATTCTTGTATCAATATTTAGCATATGTTGTATGTTGCACTAAACAATTTTGAATCACAAATGAAAGCATGTCATAATGTCCAATAGACAGTTACACGTCACTAATTTTCAAAACAATTAGACACAAACATCAGTGACCAAAATACAAAATAGGCATCATTAGCTACTAGGTCCTGCGGTAAGGCTAATAATTCGGAGAACGTTAATTAGCATCTCAGCAGATTTCAAGTTTTCATGTTATATTCAATTTCTATCTGTTAAAAGTAAAACAACCTAAGTATTTTTACATCTCTGTTTTAATTAAATAGCGCTTTATTCTTTTTATTTCAGCTGGATCTCCACAGTATAATAAAAATAATCAAAAACCATGCATTGGTCAAATGGACGTGAATAAAATATCTCTTGGTAATACAATAATTCACGAAGATAGTATCTCTGACAATGGATTTAATCAAACGACCTCATATAAAGATAAAAGTAATACAGACAAATACTGCCCACGAATTGAGGAAATGCAAAACAGTAAGACAACATTTGATAAAATGAAGAACTCAGAGTTTATCAACAACATTTCAACACAATCCACAGAAAACACTGTTTGTTCGTCGGTCACTTCTTTGAGAGAAAAATCAACTGGAGCTTTAAGGCTGATGAATCACTTTGGAGAACCACATTTAATTAATCCAACAACAGAAATAAATGAAGTCCTAAATTTTTCCACGCTCATTTCTAACTCTACATTATGGTTAACTCATTTGATGAAAAACCAGTCGTCGATACCTCCACCAACATATCCAGTGAGGTGGTTAATTGGCAGTTCCTCTACTAATCAACTTAACAGAGAAATTTCAAACCCTAAGTCGCATTCAGCTTTGCAAAACAATGAAAGTCAAGCGGAAGATGATAAGCTGAGATTCAACTTCATGAGTAATGATATGCAACAATTTGCAGATAAGGCATTCATTCCTTTTGTGAAGAATAAATCCTCGATGGAAGCTGACCATATAATTGGCCAATCAAACTCAAATGAACCAGATATATATACATGTTCTGAGTCATATAACTTGCCTAAACCAGACTCAACATCTGAACACTCTGCAACTGTAGAAATAAATGAATTCACTACAAAATTTCGGGATATCAAACGTGTCAGTCACAATGGATTGTACTGTATCGTTTGTGGAGATATTAGTAGTGGAAAGCACTATGGTATCTTAGCGTGTAATGGGTGTAGTGGATTTTTTAAGCGTTCAGTAAGAAGAAAACTCATTTACAGGTAAACATCTTCTGTTCTCATAAATAACTCTTCGAATATTAACAAATATCTACCATTTTAATGAATAAAATAGTTAAATGAAAATAGTTCAACTAGCTGGCTTAACTGGGCGGGATAGGAAAGTATTGCTGGTTGTGATGAGTTGTTGTCGGCTACTGTTATTAATTAGAACAGTATATCATGCTGTATGTTACTTAAGAAGTTGTTTGAGGACCTAGAGCATAGCGATGTCCACTGGTGTAATGACGAATAGAATTTCATCAGTGCAACAACGAGTGCATTTACTAGCACTCGTCTGCCAAAACTAGCACTACTGCATTTTTGATTCCTTAAGACACCAAGTAGAGTAATTTAGTGATCACTGAATTTTATAATCCTGCAACCCTCTTTCTCTTCTTATGAAAAATTGTTAAAAAATTCTGAAGATTGGACTGAAGACTGAAAATTTAGAATATAAATTCTAGCAAATCCAGGTATTACATTTTTATGTGCTTGACTGACTTTAAGGCAGGACTCCTAATTCTGTCATTTCGCTTTATATGGAAATTCCTCAGCAGGGTCTACTGACAACCCCAGGTGGAATTGAACTCTTGACCACGTAATTACGAAATTTAGACAGTCATCTGGAATCTGATAGCTTCCAATGATTCATCATAGTTCACAACCGTTATGCAGTATCATTAGTGGGTAAATACTCTCACAGTGGATCTAGTGGACCCTACTGACCAGAAGATACTTTGAAGTTAGTCACTAATGTGTAATAAGTTGGCAGTTTTATGTTAGATTTGTTTAAGCATGATAAATTTTCAGTGTAAATTTAAATTTCTTTCTAAATAATGTTGATTCACAATTATGGTTCAACTTATTTGGTGCTTGATGGTACAGGTCATTAACAGCTAGTAATTTTGAGCACCCCCAGTACTCATTACCAGTTCATTACTAAGTAGAACGAGCAATGAGATAGGAAAACCGAACTTAAGGTATCCACGATGCTTGAAAATATGGGATATTCTTAGCATTTGTGTTAACTCAGTACTTCTAATTGTTGGTTAAAAATTGTCCTATACTAATCCTTTACTCCACTGGATCGCCTAATTTTAAGGTTTGAACTTTATTAATTACCTAGAAGTTCACAACTTTTTCTCTCATGATGAATAGCTTTCATTTAACACGATGGCTTCTTGCACAAATTATGTACATATTTATGCACAACAAATTTTCTTTGCTGTATAATTGTTATTTTGGACGCTATTATTACGTAGTAGATGAATATGTTTTCTAAGATGAAAAATAACATCAGGGTGTGGATGAATATGACAGTTATCTGGCATTATCTGAGGTTCGATTTTATACTTCCAGTCTTGGCGATAAATTCAATACTAAATACATTAGGAATATCATAGTTGCTTTGCTTAAAAGTCAGAATTCTGTTGTGTGTATCAGGTAACGAATTAGATATGAAAATTACAGGATAAAAATTTGTATTTTTAATGTATTATCTTTTTCTACAGATGTCAAGCAGGTAACGGCTTATGCATAATTGATAAAGCACACAGGAACCAATGTCAAGCGTGTCGACTGAAAAAGTGTATACGTATGGGAATGAATAAAGATGGTAAGTGATGTGATTATTAATGATTCTTTTATTAATTTCCACAATGCAAAATGCATATACGTCACACTTGGAATTCAAAGCTATTATTATTATCATCACGAAATTAATCTCAATTTATTAACTGTTAACCGAATTCTGATAATGAAAGAATGAATAAACTTTTGAAAATGGAATTTTTAAGTCAAGTCCTGACAAAATAAACAGTCTCGAAACAGTAAATATGAAATTCCATATAAGAGGAGACAATCAACATAAAGTCCTCTCTCTGCCCAATTATCCTGATTGCTGAAATTCACCAGAAAGGGATATCCAGAAGTTTAGAGGAATTCACAGTTTATCAATGCATCGGTGGCACAGCGGTAGAATGCTCGCCGACCACGCATGTGGTCCGGGGTTAGGTCCCCGACCGACGCACTCCTTTACCTCGCTAAGCCAGTAATAAGACTGGTAAAGAGGAAAGGTTGGGCATGAGGCTAGCTGCTAATCGCATAAAAATAAACACCACTGCTACTGAAACTTCAGACCTCTAGCTTGAAGCCCTATTTTCCACTGAGAACGTAAAGGAATAGAAAAAAGTTTCTCAGTGATTTGAGCCTTTCGAAGACACAGACAACCAATGACATATTCCAGACTTAAACTTGCAGCAGAAGTAGATCATATTATGTAAACTGGACGGTGGGTTCCGTCGGTTTAGTCGTAGAATACCTACCACTCTCGTATATGGTCTGGGGTACTATCCCCTGAGGCTATCGTAATCGGTAATGAATCCAATGAAGACGAAAGGTTGGCTGTGAGGTTAACAACCCTACCTCGAGAAAAACAAACACCAGTGGAACTGAAACTAACACTATGTCCTATTCGGAACGCAAAGGAATAAAATAAAAAGGGTTTGAAATGGTAACTCTTCAACCTGATTTGTCTATAAATTGCATGACAATTACTGTAATATAGGTTTCCACTTCAGCTTCAGTGTTTTATTTTTCTAATATTATAAAAATCACTATTTTCTAAAGTTATAATATCAGAAACCACATCAAAGGATTCACTTAACAAAGAGAGAGAATATTTTGGATAACTACCGATAAGAAGCAATTAAATGTGTGAAAAGTAAGTCAGAATGTATGTCTGACAAGAAGTTGAGTCATTTTATGGATTAGTAGAGGCTTTACAACATTATAGGTAGGTTGTTAAACTTGGGAGGTTACAATGATCGCAGACTACCAATTTAAAGGCTAATAGCAATGAAAGCAACAAAAGAGGTTACGATCTGTGTAATAGGCAAACTTCTGACAAAGCTGTGAGTTCTAAAGAATAAAAAAATATTGCATCATAAGTTATTATTATTATTGTTCCCTTGGGTTCCTAGTGGAACATAGGGCTTCAACTGCACGTCTCCACTTGCTTCTGTCTTCTGCTGTACTTTTCACCTGCATCCATGTTAGTCCATACTGTTTCAGCTCCTCTTCACACGATCTCCTCCATGTCACCCTTGGACGTCCCAATCACCGCTTCCCTTTCAGGTTCCACTCGAGGGCCTGACGCGCGATTACTGTTATCGTAATCTAAAGACCGCAGACTCGAAGGCAGTTGCATTAAATAATGACATACAAAAAATGGGACATCCGTACACTTAGCTCTTTTCATCTGCATGTTCTGGGCATATAGCTTCAATTCGATTCACACGTAATGGCTAGTGTCTTGAGAAAATACTTTACGAGACATTCGGTCTAATTCAAAGGCAACTATATGAGATGTGATTAACCTTGATGCCTGTCTCCTAGGCTAAATTAATAACAGTTCACTAATCATAAACAAGACATGTTTAGCAGAACTAAGATAGCAACTCACTGTAGTTAAATGCTTAAAGCGTTGAATATAACACAGTTTTGGGGTGACTTTGTTTGCAAACCAATAGCTGATACAATAGTATAGCTACTGATCAAACCAACTTTTCAATTATGGCGAATTCATCTTATGGCACAGACTATCTGCATAACTTACAAAACAGTAACAGTAAACAGAAAATGAATTCAAAGGATTTTTAGTGGTAAATTTCCAGTTTTCACTTTGAATACGGCCTCAATCCCTTTACCAAATCCTTAGGAATTTGTCACTGGGTTATAAGCTGCAAAGTTATTAAATCCTTCGAACTATAAATTATTCTCTTGTGTTGTTTTTTGGGCTGACTGATGTGGCACTGCAGTGAGCCATATAATTCGCCTTTATTACTTCAAAGAAAAAACAGCCTCTTCTCTAAGGCTATACAAATAACCATTACCAGCTAAGTGAACATTAATTTTCATTTTAGCCACCTAAAAATATTACGACATTCAATAATTTTCCCATTATGGTCTAAGAGACTAATATTTCTCCCGGCTTCCTCCGTAAAATCTTTACAACTGTTATAATTAGAAGCACAATAGCAGATTAGTCATTCTAAGCATGACAATTCGAAACATACTTCACCTTGTTTATCTCTGATAGAAGTCCTATAGTAATGTGAATATTATAGTAACAGCTAAATAGCACTCTAACCTCTAAACAAAACTACAGTATGTGCTTCTTGAATTCCAAAAAGTTTCATCACCAGTCACTAGAAGGATAATTGATGACGGCATCAGTTTTTTAACCGCGTTAGACTTTTATTCTTGAGTCCGATAGAAGACCAAGTGGGAGCTTCGCGACTCACTGAAATGTGACTGTAGACTGTTTATCAGCTTCAGAATAAGTGACAAATGAGTCTTTGACTTCACTACTAGCCAAAAGCAAACAAGTAGCCTCGGAAATAAAGCCAACTTAATATTTAGCAAGTGAAATAGTTCCACCACGTTTAGTATGAAAGTGATAGATGCAGTAGAAAAACTATTCAAATCTATAGTCCTAATCTGATATATTACTAAAACATTCTTTTTTCCTAACATTTAGCTGTCCAAAATGAACGCCAGCCAAGAAACAGTTCTCAGTTTAATGCTCATGGTTATACAACAAGTAAACGTCAAAGCTTCGGGATATCGCATTCACCAGATGACAAAGCGTTCAATTCTACATGCGATAACCATCATGTGAATAGAGGGAAACTATTTGATGAATCAGCTAGTGTATCCGCTGAAAAGAAACAGAACGTCACGTTTCCTGAATATCTGCCAATAAATGAATGCAAGGAATTAGAAAATATGCGCACTTTCGAAAATACTGTGACAGAGAAATCAGATTGGGACCAAGTTCACAGAACTAGACACCCTACTCACTCATTAAAACGTTCGAATTCTTTCCGTTACAGAAGGCTACCAAGTAGGAAGTTAGGCAATAAAATAGGTATGCTTAACGAGGCTAAATGTCTGGATGTAAATAAAAATACGTCTCATATAACAATGGAGAATTTTCCTACCTATTTGGCTGATATAATGCAACCAAGTAATTCGATGTTCACTTCTGAAACGCCTAACACTTTTCCATTTATGTCGTCATCGTCTTTCACAAATGATATATCGAATCTACCATTTTATATGAATTCATTGGAGACCATACAATCCTCAACATCAACGTCAATAAACACAATAGCAGATGACTCCAACAGTAAGAATTCAGTTCCTACGACATCGTCTTCAGATAACGATTTGCAAAAGTTTTATTTACATTTATTAAATATTTTCAGCGTATCCAGGAATATAAAAAAGTCAGTCAACAGTGAAGACTCTTTTGCAGGCAATGATAATTTGTTAGCTAACACTCCTGGAACATCCGCAGAATACAAAGGCTATCTACCAACTCAGAGACTTCCACAAACTGCAGAAAATGAGATTTATCAATCAACAAATCATGAATCCGAGTCTCACTTCTATAATACTTTGAGAGATTTGTACAGCATTTATCTAGACAACAGTAGACATAACAATAATAATAATGATACCTGTAAGCCAGAGAGAACAAATCAGACTCTTTTGAATAACCCAATTCTGTCTCCTACTTTTAACAATCCTTTCAATTCTGGTTATAATTTCATCCACAGTCTACACAATTACAACAGTGACATGACACCTTTCAAGGAACAGTTTTTCAAAAGTTTGGTTGACTTAAACATGCAAAATAAAGGTGAGTCATTTTTGTTTGTTTTAAACTGCGTAACTGTTACTTCATGAGTTTATTTTAACTATATTTCAACAGTAGAGATTTCAGGTAAATTGAAACTACCTTCATAATCACTGTCACAAAATTAATTTCAATTTCTTAACCGTTAACTAAATTTTGATAGTGAAGGCTAGAATAAACATTTGAAACGATTAAAAAAAGAGTTATGAACAATGGTGTAGTGTGTCGTTAAAAATGAAATTAAAAGCATCATCATAGATTCATGGACATCAGCAGTAGTTTAGCAGTTTGAAAAGCTTACAAATAAACTCGATACTTTTACTGAGACTTTTACTAGAATAATCAGTTCCTCCTAAGCAAGTGTATTTGCATAATTTGTTTATCTTTGACTTGAAGACTATCTGACAAGTATGATTAGTCATTTAGCTGGGTCACTTATAAGTCTTTATCATCACAAAACGTTAACATGTATTGTTGGAAAAGTAAACACTTGTTATTTTTTCAACAGAATGTTTTTGCGTTGATGGTAATAATGTTTGCCTTAGTTATAGTATGAGTTAATCAGGTAATCTGTTTATCACTTGTAAACTAATGCTGCAAGTTGGCTTACATTTTTAAACAACTTTCCAAAAGTTCTTGACGTAAACTAACTTTGGAAAGACTATTAGGACGCAAAAAATATCATACTATCCGTCTGTCCTATTTTAGTAAAGATCGGAATGACAACAGTAAGTAGTACATTTTACTTTAGTTGCCTGCAACTCCTTAATCTTCACTAAACATGATACATCCTCTGCGCTACCGTCAGAGAATCTTAGAAGTGAATTCAAGTCAGGAAAATAACAAGTGTGAATTAAACTTTTACCAACATTATGATAACAGTACCATCAAATATGGTACTGTTGTTGTTTTGACTGTTTTGTTTCTTATTTTCCTGATTCTAAAGGGAGCATCCCAAAAAGTTGCTCCTCTGTAACTTACAACTTCCTCCTTGAGAGTGAAGATAACAACCCCACCCTGTAAACAAAACTACTACAGAAGCTTCAGTACCATCAAACATTCATCAGTAAAAAATATTGTAAACTGTACTCACCATGATTCTTAATCAGGAAGTGGCATTAGGAGGACACTAGTATTAAATCTGAAGATCTGGTGTAATGTGAAAGGAAATATATCTTTAAATACGCGTTTTAAGAGATTAATTCAGATGACATTTCTATATATCCAGCCTCCCAATAGTCCATCACATTTGCACACTGACGTGTTCTACAGTCACTATATAATATTAACAATATGAAGTTCACAATGACTGACTGCTTTTATGACCACAAAATGCTCACAACTCTCTAATAAGTTTGCCAGTTATTATTATTCTCCTAAGTTCACAGTGGAACATAGGGCTTCAAAAGCATATCACCATCTCATCCTGTTCTTTGTAGTCCTTTCTATAGGATTTTGTCTCCTGCTCACACGATCTCCTCCATGTCACCCTCAGACGCCATACTATCCTTTGCCCGTTCGGGTTCCACTCAAGGCCATGCCTGTCGCGCGGTATCACTCAGCAGTCTCCTTAGAGTGTGTCCTATCCATTTTCACTTCGACCTAATCTCTACAGAAACTTCAACGCACAAAACATATACGTCCGCAAATTTCCGCACAGTTATAAAACGAATTTTTACCTGGGCTAATTAGCTGTTTGCCGGAAGATTAGTTATATTTTCATCAATACACATTTAGTAAACTAAATAATGGATTGTTACAAACTAAGCTTAGTCTCTGACTGTATATCACAGTATGTCATCCTTCTGTATGCAAAAGTACTTCTTAGCTGTCTTTCACAATTAAAATGTGGATTTAATAAATTATCTAACACTATTTCATTTATTTTAAAAGGTATTTTTCATTGACGATTTACAGATGAAAGAGAAAGGAAAGAATTACTCTTAAACAAAACAATTCAACAATTAGAAGGGTATACAAAAGCCTGCAATCCACAGTTCACAACATTATCCAACTGCAATGAACTAAATGATACCATTCCTTACTATAAACTGGTTGAAAAGAATCCAGTTCTATCTAATGATAACAATGGTGACATATCAGATGAGCTGCAAACATCAATTAGTGAAGCTCCCTTTTATGATTTTGTTGGCCTTGATAAATTATCTCAGTATGAAACCAAAGAGCACATTCCCTGTTCAAATAACAAAATAGTCATGCAAAAAGTGGATTCCGCAAATCAGATAAACATTTTCTTAAACTGGATATTTGAGTCAAGCGGTTGGATCCTAAGAAATCCTGGAAATCAAATAGTAATCAGCAAACTGTTTTCTAAAGCATTCTGTCCATTGATTGAAAAACTTATTAACTGGGTTTTTCGAATCCCAAGTTTTATCAGCTTGTGCAAGCAAGACCAGGTAGGCATCAGTTTTAGTTTTGACACACTATGAATAATATCTGATTAAAGTCAAAGTCAGGTAGTGAGTGAGATTTCCCTAATATGCAAAGGAAATTATAGTGAATGAAGAGCCATGAAACCCAAACAAGTTATTATTCAGTGTCAAATGTTACTAAGACTCCCCTCGTAGCTGCACACAGCTATTTATTGCTTTATCTGAATAATTTTATTTACATTAGTCTACAGCTAAGTCTGCCTTCAGAATTAATTTAGAAAGGGTATAACAGCTGGAAGATGACACCAATTAGTAAAGGTTCTACAACGTGCATATGCAATAACCAGTACCTGCGAATGATTTGACTTAGACAGATGAACTGAATGATCATCTTCTTGCTCAGCAACTCAACGATCATTCAATGAGTAAATCAACCAAAATGCGAATCAAATCCCCACAAGCTCAAACATCTAATTTCTGCCTAAAAATATGATTGGCATATCAACAGAAAAGTCTGAAAAAGGTTTAGAATAGTTTCACGTCAGTACCTATGGCACATAACCATGGGTGAAAAATCACCTTTTTGGGTGTTTTAAAGACAAATTCGCCTCAAAATTGAGTTAAATTTTTGCTTGTCTTCCTACCTAAGAGAGCAAATTCACTTTTTGTATAAATTATCTGAATGGTTAAAAGCATTACTGTAAATAATACTGATCAATTTCATTAATGTATCTTAGCTTAATCGCTTTTCTTCTGTTTGTTACCAGAGATGGGAACAACACTGCCGAACAGAGTTATAGAGACATAAATGAATAAACAGTGGTGCTTAGAGGTTTCTAACGAGTTGTGCTTTTGAATGTGGTCAGAGCACATTGCACTGCAGTTAACAAACGCCTTCTCTGTTAGAAGACCATTTTTCATAAATTACTACAGTTTCAATAAAACTTTGACTGGTATTTTGAATGGATAGGTTAATAATCCTGTGAAATTATGCGGGAAACTCATTTCTTAGTTCATGAGACACTTGTGAGTATTACCAATTACAGTATTTACAGGAAATTTCAGATTTCAAGAATTAAATCAGTCACTCACCAAATATTTGTATACAATAAATACTACAGCTATAAGTTTTGTAGGCTCTTCTAGAGGTATTACATAAAAGCTAATAATTTTGCTCTTCATTATATACTAAAGCGACTGAGAACATGCTAAAGTTTAGTCGCCTATGTGTATTAAACCGGTCTAAAGACGCATATAGTACAAAAAGAAAAGATACTTAAAGATTACAATGACAAAACACTCTCGAATCAGTAAAGTGTAATTCTTTATAATATATTAAGCTGTAAGATATGAAGTGTACTGACAGAAACACTCAGGAAACAAAAGTTAACAACCACTAATCCGCACAACAAAAAGCAGAAAGTCAAATTCAAATTGACATACCAGGTAAGATCAGATAGCTCACCTTCCATTGTAAGGAATTTTGAACCAGTCGCATGCACAAGTCAAGTATCATGATAAATGGATGTCTTATGTCATCAGTGATATGTGTATAATTTTAGATGAACAAGTAGAAGTAACAGAAAAACAGTGCATCATGATGACACTTAAATCCATGCCAGTTTGTTGGAAAGAAAACTACAGAAGTAATGTTCGTTATTTTATCCATTAGACAGGAAGCTGTACAAAATAGTGCACCAGGATAACAAACCATGCAGGCCCCAGTTTCGTATCACTCAAAAGCCACTAAATGAAAACCTCTGTTAAGCCATATACTAAGTCAATGATTTTCATTATCTCGCAACTAATTTTGTAATGGTAAATGTGTGTGAAGGACAGTGAAATTTAGATTAGCCTGAATTTTCACGGTTAATAATGAACATCTTAAAATGCTACATGTAAAATGGTTGTGTAACAACAGTAAACTTCATGTAATCCCATGAATTAATGGCTAAGTTACTGCACAATACGTCTATTTATGTAATGTTATTTTCTCTACTTTTCTCACCCAGAAAGTTCTGTTTTCTCAGACATGGATCAATTTGCTTTTGTTAATCTGGTTGGAAAGTTACCAGCAACTACAGATCAACTGGAATTTGGCTATTTCTAAATGTCAATTTTCTGAAGACTCTTTTAGCCCACCAATGGAGTTATATGAACAATACCGAAGTATTCAGGTAAAAAAATGTGATTTTGTAAGCGAAAACAAATAAATGCTCCATCATTTCTGCCATTAAAATGGAACATGTTAAATTTTTGTCCATGTTAATGAATTCTTCTGTAATAATTTTTTGACTAATTTGATACCAAGCCTAATGTTCCGCCAAAATATCTCCATAGCTATTAGATACCGCTATATGTGTGGATAAAAGCTCCCTTCTTAAGTTTAAATTTTCACTTTTCAAAGCAAATATTTAGTAAAAATGCAAAACGCTGCGCAGTTTTTGTGCTTTGTCAAATTCGTACGATTATTGCTTCAGACAGGGTAATTATTATAGCCTACCAATCACATTTATTTAGGCCTTTGGATGTTATGATTCTGCGTTTCAGCTGAAACAAAAAACTGATATTTGGCACAAGATATGCTTGTACGTACGAAAAGTTTCTACACTATCACTCTATCATGTCCAGTTTCTACACTAACCCAGAATGCGATAATGGAAATATGGCGCATCTTTAATGCTTTCAGGCAAAAATTTAAATAGGATCAAGTTATACACGAAGATGCCTTCTAAGATCCGGGTAAGGCTCAATTTATTAAAAGACATACGTCAGCAAAGAAATTGAAAGTTGTACAGTTATATGGTGTTCTGAAAGGTAATGAAAGCGCCTACAAAGGTCAGCAGTTAATATCATTTGGTAAGAAGAATAGGAAATTACATGTCAGGAAGAATAATGAACAAAATACAAAACCGAGTTAAGTAGTCTTGCATAATCTAACGCTGAGAAATGATTACCATTAAAATGGCGACATCTTGGAAACAGGAATATTCTCCACGATAGTAGGAGATTTAGAAGTCTGAAAGGAAGGAAGACAGAATGAATGAACATGAATTACCCACCAAATCGTTGTACAAGTCAGAAAAAGTGTAAGGTCATGGTAATAATAATAATTGGACAAATCGCCTCTATATACATAGTCTAGAATCATCCTCATATATGTCAAGAGCTTCTACTATAGACAGATGTAGCTTGAAACCCTTCAAGCGACTTGGCCCTTAAACGATTCATTTAGAAAATAACGAATTGGCTTCAAAATGGATTTTTTTACCAATATCTGTTTAAGTGTAGTACCCTTGAACTCATTATCATTGAAAACATACGCGTACATTCAAAATGGAGACTAAAAACGTCAGGTATCATAGGAGGAGGAGTATGGTTCGTCTACTGGTTGGGAGACCTGCAACCTAATTCTAGTAAATTTCGCCACTTTTCTGTTGATCAGATGAAATTTTTTCCACGAATAGCCGGTGTCAGTCTGATCACATATTCACTTAGCCTCGGTGCCACATATTCTATTGTCATTTTGTTTGACCGCATGTTAGTCCATACTGTTTGATAATCAGATGAAGCACTTTGGTTTTACAGAACAATTATTCACCCATAACTTAAGAGAAAAACCTATTTATGGTCAATAAGATATGAATTATGATGGTCACTACCTAGAAAATGTGCGTAGCATATATTCATCCTTATTTTGTTAGATTTTTAGTGTTAAGTAGTTTTGATAACGTAAAACACTGTATTATCTCACATTGTTGCATTTGTTTTCAACTTGGCATTACCCACATGGATTACTGATTGATGTTTATAAGTGGTATCAACTCATAAAGCCCAGCTACAATCACTACTAGTGCTCATATAAAATTAAAATTACCAAAACTTAAAACACGAAATCACAAATATTACAGACAGCCTTTTAATTTCTAAACTGTATTTGATATCAGTACCCTCTGTAAATATAAATCCGGATAACTAGTGGTAACAGAAACAAGAGTAAAAGGAATCTCATAGATGTGTGATTTGACGTCCAAAGTCAGAGGTGATCTTTATTTGGCTTATTTACTCCTTTTTCATCTAAACATCTCACACGTGTAGATTTTATTTATTGCTTGCTATATTTATTTATTTATTAACTTGCTTCCTGTAGCCTGATATCACTGAATTAAATCTACTGAAAATGATGCTTTTATTCAACACTGATATAACGGAAATAACGCGAAATGAAACTATTGACTGTGTACAAAAGCAGCTGAAGTTACAATTAACTCAATATGAATGGATTACCCACCCAAACAATATAACAAGGTAACAAAAAATCTTATTGTAGTGCAGTAGAATATTTTATATCACTATATGCTGGCTTTAGTTTCAAGTAAGAACAAAACTTGTATAAACTGCCTCTACCCCATGAAACTTGTAACATCTGTGGTAGTATATCTGAGAAAGAAACCAAATATTATCTGTGTCAGTCCAAGTTCTTCTTATGATCCTCGTCAGCTTCGAAAAAAGTCTTTCTGTATGTCTGTTATCTAAGCAGGCTGTGAATCTACCCCTTATAAATTATTGTATTTTATTTGTTCTTCTTTACTGTTCCTCCTTATTATTTTCCTTTGGCTGCCGAAACGAAACTACGTTACACTAAGTAGAAGTTCATAGGCTGTAATTAGGCTAAGTGAAATGTCTAGGAATAGAATAACTAACGCTGTTGTTGACAGACATCTGAAGTTGGTGAACATCATCCCATGAGATAGTAAAAATCCTCTTCAGAAAAAAAACACATCGGGAAATCTCATAAGTTCTTATGCTCTCCAGACCGAATGCAAAATCGCCCACTTATCCTCTACATTGAAAGAAGCGTTACAACAGATACGGCAGACTTTGTATTCACTAAATATATAAATAAATATACTATTATTAATAATCACTTAATTTCAAACAGTAATTATTATGCAGAATAGAATGTTCAGCATTGTACACATTGTAATAGTCTATCGCATGCAAATAAACAATTCAAATAGTAAATATAATCAGACAGTAGAAAATAAATTTAATGGAAAAGTAGTATAAGTAATAATAAGGCCGATTATAAGTTGCTGTTCATGAGTAAATTACAAAGTAGTTTTATAAGCTCTTTCCTGATATTTTTGTCCCTTCAAACAATAACCATGCTAAATATTGTATGGTTCAGTTTTCAAATATTTTATCGTAAAGCATAAATTCTCATAGAATTTTTTCTGGTTTTACCCGAAGGAGAAAGTTGAGAATAAACAGGATGTCCAGTATCCGACAAGATGACTTTAGCCAGTCGCTAGCAAGAAATAAACTACCTTTCAACAAAAATGTCAGTTATTTAGGTCAAAAACTCACCACTGACTGTTTTTACAGCCTTAAAATTCTTATGTGCTATAACACAGCCCTTTTAATGTTCATTATGTGCTAAGGTCATTGTGTTGAAAAATATTTGTATGAGAAACAAATACTTCACTCTGTTGAAATTCTGAAAATTTCATACAGCATCGAAAATTTGTTTGGAATGAAGTAATCACTACTACTATATTACTACTACACTAAAAGTATATTAAGTGAAAGCCTTTATATCAGTAATAAGTTTCAGTATCATTCGTTAAAAATTGTAACGGAGACACTATTACAATTCTTAGGTAAGAAAAATAAATTACTACTAATGAGTTGGATGTTGAGGAAAGACTTTGTGAATGGTCATTGGCATAACTAATCCCTCAGACAAATCACATTATCAGTCAAGATAACCCTAACAATTGACTGCTAACAAAGCGAAGTGCCCTTCTATGTTGATATGCCGTACTAACATACAGGTGTAATGTTGTTGCAAAAGCAAAAGAACCGTATATCTATTCTTAGCAAAAACGTTACTTTTTAAAGCATTGGAAATGTTACACACCTCCCTCTATAGGTCACTAAGAATGTCTTGAATTTCACTTCGTATCGTCTCAACTGAATTTTCAGTACTCATTGAAATTCGATACCCTTTAGCATATATTTTATTTTTGCGTCCGTGGTACAGTGGTAGCATGCCCGCCAACCACGCAGATGGTTCAATGCCTGGCCGACACGCTCCTTTACCTCACTAGGTCAGTGATAAGACTGGTAAAGAGGGAAGGTTAGGCTAGCAACCCCACTGCTACCAAAAATTCAGAGCTCTAGCTTGAAGCCCTATGTTCCACTGGGAACTTAGAGGAGTAGAAAAAATATGTTTAATATGATTTAAGAGGTGAATTTATAGTTAACTGCCGATCAACATTCGAATATCTTAAAAACCAACAACTCTCCGGATATCTTTCACACGCCTATAAGCGAACTCACGTGGCGACCTGCTTGAATCCCTGGGCTATCTAAACTTTTATGCAACACAATTCATGCATTCTCCCCAACATCTTAGTTTTTGAATCATCCGGTTTTGTTTTGGGATCACTACTTGATCTTAGTGACACTTTTAACTAGCTTTCTAAGGAATAATGGATTAAAAATGTCGCAGAGGATTAGCCGTTATCCCAAATGAAAAAGTAAAGTTTCATATGATGAAGATCCTGCATGAAAAATAAATATTTTGCAGTTCACATAAACTGAGAATATCTAGAAAAAAGATATTTTACTATTATAACTATAGAAGCACAAGACATAAGTGGAACGCTTAATACATATTTCCAACAAACAATAGTCACTGTATACAATGTTCTCCACTGACTTACTTTAAAATTATCTGTGTATTGAAATCTACGTCTTTTTTTTACTAACGATGCCTTATTTTTTCTGTATTTTAGATGTAGTCAACTCTTGCTGCTCAATACATCAATACAAAAGTTGAACAAGACAAAAATCAAGGATACCTTCTTTGTACAAAATATAGCAGAATGTTCGTCTATTTAATTCTAAAGAGGACTGTTAATATTTATCCTGAAGAGATAATCATTGGAGAATAACTTCGTGATCAAATAAGTTGGACAAATCTTACAACAACTGTATATTTTTTGGCATTAAAAATCTGGACATCTAAACTGATCATTATATATTATAGTGGTTGCAGTGAGTAACTTCAAAATTATCTGAGCGCATTTCGGATGGTCGTATAGATGGAAAAGAATAAATGCATTAGTCTTCATCCATACAACTGACAGGTAGTTAATTAATGACGTGTATAAAGTGTAAATAAAGAATGACCAAAATCTAGAACAATCTTACCTAGAGTTTATTCATTAAATGTTGAAGTCATTTTCTAGAATAAGCTCAAGAAATTCTTTCTTTTAGAGTTGATTTTAAGAAAACAGATTGTCCTGAAAAATGCTCGGTGTTTTCTTGTTTAAGTACCAGAAGATTCTGAGACTTCACTTAATGTTATTCTAGCGGGAAAAGACCTACGCATCTTATCCTTACTCGTCTTTCAACCTCTCAGAACTGATAGATGGATTAGGAGGATATATTACTGAAGGCCGTAGTTTCTAAATTCTGTAAGTAAACTGTTGTCGTACATCTACAAACATATTTCTCACAACACAACTGAAAGAATGTGCATATTGACAATGGGTCGTACCATGCCTGTTTTTACAAAGGCTAGGAAAGATATTCATAACGGGCATTCCTTTATCTCTTACAGCTGTTCAGTATCTTTAAATGTCAGTAGATCAGTAACGACTACTCAAATCAATGATATCCAGATATAACAAATGAAAACAAGTGGTTACAGTTTATTATTATCATTAATTTTGTTGAACTAGTAATTTCACTTCATTGTTCTTATATGTTTTACAAATTTCCGTTAAAACAGAGGCGATGAAACCGTCTAGCTGTACACTTTCTATTAAATTTCATTTGCTGATATTATCCTGCAAAATAAAGCAACTTATTTGTTATTGACAATTCAACCAAACATATTTTCCAGTATAAAGCAATTTGTTAAACAACATTAACGAAAACCATGAGAAATGAATATAAAAATATAATTAATTCTTTACTCATTATTGCCCGAACGGTGTTGTACTGGATGACCTTTGCTCTTCACCTACCTAAAACGATTTAACCGAATTAAAACAGAATTCAACAGTTAACTGTTTTATTGATTCTTCATAAAAACCTTTGTGTTTATTTTTACCGTAAAGTAACAAGCTGGCTATTAGCTGTTATTTGCATAGTGTAAATTTTCGGTTATATTTCTTAATACAATAACTTTACTGTCTCATGTTCTGTTTAGAAAGTGTTTAACAATGTATTTCAACAAAAACATAAGTATGACAGAAAAAATCATATGGGCTTGCAATACCCTTCAACTTGTAGTAAATTTTTAGAAAAACTTATGCACATGTCTGCACAGATTTGGATTATTTACGGATTAACTCTGTCAAATAAAATAAGTGTACAAACTACAAGAAAGGTTAAATTCCTTTATGTATCTAGGCAGCATCGATTCAACTTCAGGTGAAACGGATGAGGATATAAAAAAACCACGATGGGAAAGGCAAAGCAGACTTTTATTACTCTGAAATCGGTTTGGAAATCTCATGCACTCAGCACAAAGAACGAAATTCGGATTTTCAGCACTAATATTAATAAAATCAGTTCTTCTATATTGATGGGGAACTTGGCGCCTGAGTCATGAAAAGCATTTCCAACAACTAGCTGCAGACTTTTATCGGCAGCTGCCTTCATTAGTTTTATAGTGAAGATCAGACGGTCAGAAAAAATTAACAACAGGAAACTCGAAGGGAGGACCGACCAAGAACCTATTGTTCAACATGTATGCTGAAGAAAATTGAGATAGATTGGACACATGCTACAAAGATCATTAGGTGACATGCCACACCAGGCCGTCAATCGGAACTTCAGTGGGAACCTATGGGTTGGACGTCCGAGAATGATACTGAGTAGATTGTGTGAGGAGAAGAGGATGAAAGCCTATGGGTGATCTTGGGGCCATCTGAAGAGAACTCTAGAGAACAGGACAAAATAGAGATGTACTGTTGAAGCCCTGTGTTCCACTCCGAAACAAAGAGAATAATAACAGTAAACGAAATCTATAAATAAATTATGATGACAGAGTTTATAAATCACCGTTTAGTGCAGAACATCATTTAAATTGGGAGAAGACTCAAAAGATGCATCAAATTTAATCTTACATTTGGTGGCACTCCATAACTGATGGTCTCGTCTTCTACGCATCCTTTTTTTATCTAACAAAATAGTGAAGTTTCGTATAAACTGATGTTTTAATAAAAAAATCTATAGAGCTTTAAAAGCATCTGCAACATTTAAAAGCTGGATAAACGTTAGTCGACTGAAAACAAAGCTGAGCAAGTAATTCCATTTGCTGACAGAGAAATTTATGGCACTTTATATTCAAATTGAAACGGACCTTAATTGGAAACTTAAATGACGCTTAGCCACGACCTGTTTGTTGAAATTAAATAAAATAAATCTAGATGAGCAAATAATAATGAATGATAGAATACTGTTCATGGTTAGCTAGCACATAACTAATACGCAACAGACGATTTGTCTGACTACTGTATGCATAGTAAGTGTGTCATAAGATATATAACCAGGTCTCAGATAATTCCAACGGAAAATGACTCAGTTGAGCTCAGCTGCTGCTACTATCGTTCATAACTATCACCACGAAGTTAGTAAGTGTATGTTCAGTTACTATAGTTAGATTCAGTGGAATACATTCAAAATCAATAAGCGTAAAATGAGTTGACACTTCAGCTCAGCGTGTACAAAAAGTTGTAGTAACTGTGTCCCAATAGATGCAACTGAATCATATCAGAAGAGAGGAAATTTTCAGTATCCGCGATGTAGATTAATAAGCTATCTTTGCCCCCAGTTTATAAAATTCTCACACACACATTGTCACTATCCATCACACACTAATCATCACAGCACGTTGTATTTGCAAAAACAGATGGCAAAACATACTGTGTAAGCAAAATGGTACGCGTAAATTAACATAGCTGCTTGTTCACGAAAACTCAGGACTTTGGAGTGGCGATAAGTTAAAATTAAGTAAATGATAGTAATAACAACTCTAGGAACACAGTGACGTCATTCTATCTTTGTTTACTTCATATCTCAACAAAAGCTTTATTAATAATTAACACGATTAACTTATACTGCCCTCGAGCGCTACGGTTATTTATCCTGTGGCGACGAACCAGCGATACTGATTTCAAACATCTGTTGATATTTTTTGTCCTAGTAACTAAGCCAGTAAAGTTTCCCGTCCATTTTCAGCATACAAAGAAGAAAGAAAACTTCTAGAGGATCTGCAGCATATATTTTCGAAATATTTGACGTAAAGAAGTGTTGTTAAGTTACTCACACATACACGTACAATAAAATATTTACTCAGTGCATTGTGTAAATGACCTAATTTCTCAGTTATATGTGTAAAATCAAATTAACATACAATTTCATGCTTGATAAAGCGAATCAGTGAGTGTCTACTGATCGTTTCTCCTACATAATTTGCTTCTCTTTGCATAAGGATATATATTCTTAAAACTAACACCCCTATAGTGCAACGAGATGTGCCTTCATAATCATTCTATTAGCATTCATGGTGTCACAATGATTTTCTTTGACTGAAGAGAAAAGAGAACAAGCAGAAGTGAGTGGAGACATACAATCAAAAACTAATCTCTTTTAATTATCCAATCCTCCCTATTAACTTTTGTCAGTGTGTGACTATTTCAGGTGAAAATCAAAAATGAATTATAAATTCCTTAGCAGGGGGAGAAAGTGAGAGAAATGTCTTCGTCGTAAACACAGACAAACCAAAACAATGAATGAATATAATGTCACACTTTATGGATATGATGGTGGTGATGATGGTGGCAGTCATTTTGTCTTCTCTTTTAATGTGATTACGGTGACATCAATCACTGTTAGAGTGTTTTGAAGTTATGTGTTAGAAAAATGTTTACAATAATTCTCCTCCTCTTAATTCTTCTTCGCCTAATTTATTCTCTTTCTTTCTTTTTTAATATTTAACTGATAACATTTTAAGACATATACTTCACATATTTTCTATGAACATTCAGTTCATGATATTTACACGATTATGAGTTTATTCGATTAGACATGCTTTATGAATTATAACATTTACTTGGATGGGATATATTAATAGTCGTGAATACTGGATTGTCAGACATTACAGGATATTAGGTTAATAAAAGAAGCAAACATTTAAAATAAAAGAATCACGAAAAAGAGTAAAAAGAAAATTCTTTCTTTGACTTTTCAGTCAATTAAGCATAAGATACAACTACAAAAGGCACGATGAAAATAATACGCCTGAACGAACAGAAAATCCGTGTTTCGAATAAATGAGATAAGTTTCCCACCTTCTTTATTGCTTTTCTCTTCAAAGTTTTCATCATTTGAATACTATGAAGTACTTGCTACATGACATGTCTCCCAAAGTATATATATTAATATATGTATATATTCGTAGATATTCCATCCCGAATACCTTAGAAGGCTGACATTTCATTTCTGCTTAAACACATGCCTTAGGGGTAATTTTAAATGGATTACTTGGAACGACCAACGTCTAGATGTCACACGAATGAATTTGAACAGTAATTTCCTGAGTGTACACAAACATGCAGCAGTAACTTTAGTGATTGACATCAATAACAGAGATATAATTGATTGTCAGATAACTATCTAGAGCACATACACATGCAAGTGGTACAGCAGAAGTAATTTCGCCCATAATTATCAAATGGTGAATCATACTGAATTCACAGCCATTCTGTAAATATCCAGTAAGCAAGATTTCTATGAAAATTCACTCAAAGCATGTTAGTAAAGTGTTAACTGATGTCTGTCGTCACAATGATTCTCTAAATAATGCATTGTAACCTGGATTACACACCAGGTAGTGACTAATGTCATGCGTCTAGGCCTTCATTTTGGTGCAGACTGGATTCTCTCAGTCAAGTTTGCAATGTGGCCACCATAATAGGTGGTACACCGTCGAGATGCACTCTGAATTCATGTTAGGCGGTTGGAGGAAATTGGTAGAAAGCCACGAACCTACACTTCATTCATGTTGGTACTGGTCAACAAGGCACGTCTGCAGTCTTCAAGGAACTCATCCTGGGTCACTTAGTGCTGCAATCATAAGTGTCACCACTGAGCTGTTCAGGCTAGCGATTGACCTCCTGTAGGGCTGCGAGTTTAACTTGACGAAACTGCATCAACCATTAATGCAGCTTCAGGCCATGCTTTTATTTAAATTAACTCATAAAATATATAAATATTTGGGTCTAATAAGAAAATCTTGACAGTAGTTTTACCTGCCAGCAGTTCATCAATCTATCTTAGATCGAATCAAATCTATGCAAACTAGCACCTGGAAATTAATTTAGTTCTGACTAATGACTGACTACAAAGTCGAGTTCTAGAGAGAAGTAGTTACCATTAGGTTCACTGTATGGGGTGTGAGGACATATACTCACCAATTACAATGGCTAATGGTTGCACTTTAGATCGCAAACTGGCCGAAGTTAGAATTCAAGGTCTGCTGAATTTCATCTTATTGGTTGAAAAATCAAAGGACCTACCTCGTAAAGTAAAGGCTGTGGGTTCGGTTCCCGGCC